CATATTTGGAATGTTGGTTTTAATTGCTTTCTCTAATGGCCCGAATACCTAGTTGTAATTGAACTCTTCGACGAAATACTCGCAAATTTTACCCATTTTTCAAATATTCAAATCCACAGTTCAAAACATTATTATTCATGATCGACTACTTTTTAAAAAATACTAACACGCAACCATCCATCAAACAGTTGCCAACTAGTCAAAAACTCAACTTACAAATAGGTGAGTTCTCTCTTCTTCCAACCTTCGGAGCCGACAATATAACGTTTGGGGCGTCGCAGCTTTACAATATCTTCTGCGTCGACGTCAGGAACGCCACAGCGGGGAGTCTGCATCAGCTGTGAGAGGAGGAGAGAGGAGAGAAGCGGTTGAGACGAGGACTCTAATTCGTAAATATTTACCTCGAGATTCAACGGAGCAAACTGTGAACAAATTGAAAATTGCAATTTCTTTATTGTATTCTATCATTCTTTGTATATCTCTCACTCTCTTTAAATAAAGAAAAATGCACAAAATATTCTCTACTCTAAGTTTCAATTCGTAAACATTTACCCAGTGATTCAATTGAATAAATTGAGTCTTGCAATTTCTTCATTGTATTCTATCATTCTCTCTATCCTTCTCGCTCTCTTTTAAACAGATTTGTCTAAGATTCAAATATTTACCCCGAGATTTAATTGAACGAATTGAAACTTGCAATATTGGTCATTACATATCATCACTATTTTCATTTCTCTCCCTCTCTTTTTTATCTCAAATCTCACAAAAAATATCCTCTTCGTTTTAACTGACGTGTATACTTTCCTTGCATTTTTTTCAATGTTTCTCTCTCTCTCTCTCTCTCTCTCTCTCTCTCTCTCTCTCTCTCTCTCTCTCTCTCTCTCTCTCTCTCTCTCTCTCTCTCTCTCTCTCTCTCTCTCTCTCTCTCTCTCTCTCTCTCTCTCTCTCTCTCTCTCTCTCTCTCTTCTCTCTCTCTCTCTTCTCATCTCTCTCTCTCTCTCTCTCTCTCTCTCTCTCTCTCTCTCTCTCCTTCTCTCTTCGTCTCTCTCTCTCTCCTCTTCTCTTCCTCTCTCCCTCTCTCTCCTCTCTCTCTCTCTCTCTCTCTCTTTCTCTCTTCACTCACTTGACATTCTCTCTCCCTCTCTCTCCCTCTTCACTCCTGACATTCACTCCAATGCCATTATTCACTCGCCTCCTCCTTTTTTGGCATGTTGCCTCATAAGGGATCAAGCTTGACAGTTCCTCTCGCGCCTCGCATGACCCTCATAAAGCAACATGAGATGGTTATTTCACGATCAGATGTTTATTTGATTAGACACTCGATGCTGCAGATAACAGGGGAAGGCTTTGCACAGACGGGCGTTAAAAAGGCACGAGATATGATGCAGTGACCGCGAGTTTGTGGCCTCTCTCTTGTGTCTTCTTGTATCTATCGAGCTATCAGATGGTCTATCGGTTTGTCTGTGTGTGTTGTGTGTGTGTGTGTGTGTGTGTGTGTGTGTGTGTGTGTGTGTGTGTGTGTGTGTGTGTGTGTGTGTGTGTGTGTGTGTGTGTGTGTGTGTGTGTGTGTGTGTGTGTGTGTGTGTGTGTGTGTGTGTGAGTGTGTGTGTGTGTGTGTGTGTGTGTGTGTATGTCGATCTCTCCCCTTCCCTTTCGTATCTATCTATCTATCTATTGATTACAAGTCCGCAGTTGATGGAACGTGGATTGAAAGTATTTTAGAAGAAGAATCATTTAAAAAACATTAAAATACATCGCTTTATTTAAACAGATTGAACCGGAGAGAAGAAATATACATATATATATATATATATTTTAATCTCCCCCTTAATATTGAAAATGAATTATAAAAAAACACGAACCAAATGGTAAAAAAATAATAATAATGATAATTGCAGTCTTTACGCGTCACTCTCCGTGTCTTGATCAATCTGCATCGCCATTGCATAAATTACGTTTCTCAATCCTGCAAGTTTTACGCAATGTCGTCAACGCATTTTCACCATTATCGTTGTTTTTTCCCCTGATCAACATCGCAGGCAAGTTGCAGACCGAAGCAGAAAGAGAGGGAGAGGGAGAGAGAGGAGAGAAAGGGAGGTAAATAGATAGAGAGAAAGGGAGAAATAGAGCGCGAGAAAGGGAAATAGAGAGAGAAAGGAGAAAGCATTTCTGTCTCTCCAATATGGACAGACAAAAAGAGAGAGAGAGAGAGAAAGATACCGAAGCAAAGAGAAAGAGAGAGAAAGAAAAAGAGACCGAAGCAAAAAGAAAGAGAGAGAGAGAAAGAAAGAGAAAGGGGTCACGCGAAACCGCCAAGGAGGTCACACAGCCTCCCCCTAAGAAGACCCCTCCCCCCAACCCCTTCACCCCCACCCCTCCACCCCCTCTCAAGACCCCCACCCACCCTCCACCCCCCTCAGACTGACCCCACCCCACGCCAAGACCGCCCCCCACCCCCACCCCACCCCCCCACCCCCACCCCCCCACCCCCAACCCCCTCGATCCGTCGTTCGATCAACTCCAGCGCCAAGACCGCCCCTCCACCCCCCCACCCCCTCCAACCCCACCCCCTGACTGACCTCGATCGTAGCGTTGTCGATCACTCCAGCGCCAAGAACCGCCCCTACCCCCACCCCGCTCCCCACCCACCCACCCCTCAAGACTGACCTCGATCGTAGCGTTGTCGATCACTCCAGCGCCAAGAACCCCCCCCACCCCCACCCACTACCACCCCAACCCCCACCCATCACCCCCCCACCCCCTTCAAGACTGACCTCGATCGTAGCGTTGTCGATCACTCCAGCGCCAAGAACCGCCCCCCCACCCCACCCCACCCCTCAAGACTGACCTCGATCGTAGCGTTGTCGATCACTCCAGCGCCAAGAAACCGCCCCTCACCCCACCCCCACTCCCCCCACCCCCTCTCAAGACTGACCTCGATCGTAAGCGTTGTCGATCACTCCAGCGCCAAGAACCGCCCCCCACCCCCCCACCCCCCCACCCCTCCAGGACTGGACCTCGATCGTAGCGTTGTCGATCACTCCAGCGCCAAGAACCGCCCCCCCCCACCCCCACCCCCCTCAAGGCTGACCTCGATCGTAGCGTTGTCGATCACTCCAGCGCCAAGAACCGCCCCCCACCCCCACCCACCCATCCACCCCCACCACCCCCACCCCCTCAAAGACTGACCTCGATCGTAAGCGTTGTCGATCACTCCAGCGCCAAGACGCCCCTCCACCCCCAACCCCCACTCCACCCCCCCCCTCAAGACTGACCTCGATCGTAGCGTTTGTCGATCACTCCAGCGCCAAGAACCGCCCCCCACCCCACCCCCACCCCCAACCCCACCTCCACCCCACCCCTTCAAGACTGACCTCGATCGTTGTCGATCACTCCGGTCTGCGGGATGCTCCCGAACTTCTGCATGCGTTTGATCGACTCCTCGAGAGCCTGAGGCGAGAAGAGGAAGTCGGCCTCCTCGTCGCCTTGGGGAATGTACCCGAACTTCTGCATGAACTTCACCTGCGAAGGATTAGGGAAAAAAAAGGGGGATAAATGTCGAGTCGAGGGAGGGGAGGGAGAAGGAGAGAGGGGAGGGAGGAGGGAAGGAAGGAGAGAAAGGAGGGAAAGGAAGAAGGGGAGAGAGGGAGGAGGGGGACGGAAGGGAGAGGGAGAGGGGAAGGGAGAGAGGGGAGAGGAAGGTGGGACGGAGAGAGGGGAGAGGGAGAGAGAGAAGAGAAGGAAGGACGAAGAGGGTGAGGGAGAGATAGGAAGGGAGGAGAGAGGGAGAGGGAGAGGAGGGAGGGAGGGAAGAGGGGGAGAGAGGGAAGGAAGGGCAGAAGAAGAGGGAGAGGGAAAGGAAGGGACAGAGGAGAGGGAGAGGAAGGAAGAAGGAGAAGAGGAGAGAGGAAAGGAAAGGAAGGAAGAAGGAGAGGGAGAGGGAAGGAGGGAGGGAAAGGGAGGAGGGAAGGAAGGACAGAAGGAGAGGGAGGGACGGAGGGAGAGAAGGAAGGAGGGACGAAGAGGGTGAGGAGAGAAGGAGAGAGAGAGAGAGAGAGAAGAAAAGAGGGAAGGAGGAACGGAAGAAGATATGAGAGGGAGAAGGAGAGAGAAAGAGACCAAAGAGCTAGGGACAAATGACGAAAAAAAGGACAGAGACTAAGAGACGTACGAAAGATGAGGAAAAGAACAGATGATATGTGGATATAAAGAGGAAAATGAAAGGAGAGCGGAGTGAAAGGGAGATAAGGAGAAAGAGCGAAAGAAAAACAGATGCGGAGGGCAGTAAATAGGCGGTCAGGCTGCGGGCGGGGAGAGGGGAACAGACAGGCAGAAATATGGGACGAGATGAGACGGAAAAAAAAACGCAAAAAAAAAAATGCGAGAGATGGGATAAATATGGATGCATGAGAGACAAAAGACAGAGGAAAATACTAAAAGGACATGACTTTATTTAGCTTATATCATAAATTACACGATGACATCACAGACAGGGAGGGATGAGAGGACTTACGGCGTGCAGAGTAGAGCCGACCCTTGGCGCGGGCGTCGTCGAGGGCGCGGGCGTGGGGGCGGCATTGTCAGGGGCGATTTCGTTGTGTGGGTGGTGGGCGTAGGGGTCGGCGCTGGAGGAGCGAGGGAGCGGGATCCCCACGGGCACCCCGGCGACGAGGGACGCCAGTGCCACGCACACGAACGTGACGTAGAGAGGTCCCATGGCGGCACCTGGAGGCGAAAGGAGGCTCTGTAAACAGCGTGGCTCTCGCTGGCACTGTGGCACCGCGGCCCTCAGTGACGCCACCCCATCAGGCGGCCACACGACCCTGGCTTGCCCCTTCACTTCACTCGCGCACAGAGGGCGCTGCGGCGGCGGGAGGGCGCGGCGCTCTCCCCCCCCCCCCCTCGCCAGAACCTCGTCCCCTCACTCCACTGACTGCTGGCACAGACGTAACCAGATAGGAGTGCCACTAAGCTGTTGTCTCGCGCTGTCACCGCCGCCG